ATACTGCTATATAGATTCTTGAAAGACTATCACTAAGAAATAAAGACTTGTTCCTTGAGGCAGATTTGAGGAGGGGGTTTAAGTTAGAGAAGGAAAACTTAAATTATAGTAACAGGAAACTATTGAAGATAAAATCATTGACAATAGAACCAATTATTCAGAGGATGAGTGGACTCTCCCTTGCTGAAGATCTTCAGACATTTTTAGTAATCAGCAGTTAAAGATATACTATGAATTAAATATAAAGGGAGAAGGGAGAAAGAAAAAAAATAGATAATATTGGTACATCAAGAATAATGCAGTAATGCTTTACAAGTACAGAAGTTCTTTGTGAAAGCGTTCCAAATACACGAATGTGGTTCCTTATTTCTATCAGTGAAATGTTGGGGGACTACACAAATAATCTTTTGGCTTAAGAATTTCCAACCTGGCATTTTCCAAAAATGTTGTACTATATCCTATACCAAATGGAGCTATCAAGTCATGTTCAGAATTATACCTCATCAACATATCTGCAGGTCACCAGGCTACGACAGACTATCTCAGATGACAGAGTTATATTAGCATCATATAGAATTATAATATTGGTAGAACATGGAGAAAGAAAAGAGAGTCCTCATTCCTTAAAGATTGTTTAAATATAATTTATACATTCACACTTAATGTAACTTAAAAACCACACATTACAAATCCTGTGCCACGAATGTTTTGAGTTCTGTATGATGAACTCAAGCCTACATGATCACAGATGTTGGACATTGTATTTAAAGATTTGGCAAAAAGTCTACTGAATTTTTCTATTATGTGTCCCCAGAATTTCACTGAGTTTAGTAATTTTCTCAACTGCAGAAGTTGTAGTGGCCATATGTTTATCACAGAAACACATGGAGAAGTCCCTTCCTTTCTTCTGACCCAGAGTTTCACCACCTTCCCACATCCAGCCTCTGAGATTTCTTCAGGTGTTATTAATAGTCTAATGTGCCTACATTCTTAGCCAAAAGAGCTAAAGATTTGGTGGGCTGGATTTTTTGTTTTGTTTTTGGAGAGGTGATATTCTTAAGCTATTTCCCAAACTTTAGCTTTCTGAAGCCTTAAAAAACAAGTTCTAAAAGTATAAAGTATAAAAAAGAAAAGTTGCCCTTGAGCCAAGATCAATGTCTGCTGATACCACCCATGCAGTTTCTAAAATCTGTAGAGATTCTCAGTTATCCAGGTCACGGTTGTTCCAAAGGTGCTTTTTCAGGAGGCAACTGGACTTTCTTGTTTTTTCCTTTCAAAGACATTTTGCTTCTCATTCAAGAAGCGTCTTCAGCTCTGAAGAAGCTGCTTGGATGAGAAACGAAACGTCTTCAAAGGAAAAAACAAGAAAGTCCAGTTGCCTTCTAAAAATGCACCTTTGCGACATGCCATTTCTTGTTAGCATTACAGAAATGAATTGCTATGGCTTTTCCCAAAATATTTTTTCAACTTCCCATCTGATCCTGGAATTCCTAGGTGGCCTACCAAATGCAAAATAGAGCCTTTTTTGAGTTAAAAATAATAATATTTCTGAGCCTAAAAAAAACAAGTAGAAGCTTGATAGGTAGCATTCCTCATTTTTGTTGTAAATATGTAGCACTTTGTAAAGCAAATCCCTTAATGCCATTTTGTCCATTATTGTTTTAGTTCTCTTACTGTAAAAGAAACAAAAAAAGCATTAAGTTCATAATTTTCTCCTTTTGCATATGGATATGCAAAAGTCAAAATGCTTTGACAGTACTACAAACCTCAGCAATTCTGCCTCATTGCTTTCCTGGGTATTTGTCCCCATAACATAACATCCCAGTTTCGGATCTGGGGAAATATAATATCCATTTTAAAGATAATGCCAAACATCTTGGAAACCATATATTCTTGTAATTACTCTTTTACCTGCAATCATAAAAAGAGAATGCTGGTTGTCAGTGTCTATATTGATTACTAGATAGTGAACAATTGCAATATTTGTAAAATACTTCATTCCTTCACTGTCCACTTCATAGTCATCCTTAAGATTCCCTTTGATATATATATATATATATATATATATATATATATATATATATATACATATATATACACACACACACATATATATACACACACACACACACATATACACATATACATACACACACACACACACACACACACACAAAACATCTTCTATTGGGCTGAAAAGAATGACTGGCCCAAGTCAACTAGTCTACGTCCATGCCTAGGGAAGGACTAGAATGCACAGTCTCTCTGTTCCTAGTCTAGCTCCTTAACTACAACAACAGACTCTTCAGAATCAAAGTGCCCAGTGGTGCCTATTATTTTGATCTTCTGTAAGAATAATTCAGAGGTAGAACATCTCCATAGCATGCCAAATTAGTAGAGATATTTTCAGATAATCTCTGATAGGTGTTTGTAATACTAAGCCACACACTTATTTTTAATTCCATTTTGAAATAACCTTGATAATAATGTGAAGGCCTTTTCTTACCAAGAAAAGCCATAAGGAGTTCCTATCAGCATCATGATGTGTATAGATTAGCTTAATCTGATGCCCTCCAGATGTGCTGGACTGCAATTTTCATTTTGCTCATCCAGCAGGACATTTGGAAAGCACCATTTTAAGAAAGGCACCATGTGTAAGGTTATTACTGTTTTCATTTCGCTGGCTGGAAAAACTAACTAGAAACATGGAAAATAAGGATTTGTTTTAATGGGAATAAGGCATTGCACTGTGTATTTAATTATTATAAGCAAGTAAATTGGTGTTCATAGGCCCACCCAACTTAACATGACTGGGGCAAACTACAACTGGGATTCAGAAATTTGAAGGCTACCTTACCATGTTTGTTGAAAGAATTTGAGAAAACCATTAAACTTTTTAGGAAAAGAGATTTGTTATATGATCCAGTTGCGTTCTGTCATTCAGTTGTTCAAGGAAAATTTACATTGGCACAGCTTCTTATTCTAATGAGAGAATTTTTGAAACTGCTCTGTGAAGGGTGAGACTGAAGATCCATGGAAAATTACAATTATCAGGGTTTCCTAGGAAAAATATTATGGTAACTTTGGTAAAAAAAAGTTTATAAATGCTTGAAGTATAGAGAATCTAATGATCTCTGTTTATGCTGATCTATGATCATAATAAAGATTTGATTTGGTAATTATCTCTGTCACTTCTTCTATCTTGATGCATTATTTACAGTGATGGAATTCTGAAATAGCACAGAAGCCATGTTAAGCTTTTCTGTATCACAATAATTATTTCTTAGAACAAGAAATATCTGTTATGGCTATATACCTTTTTGCTTGTGGGGGGAAAACCCATCTCCTAAAGTACATGTTTCCATATTAATCCCATGGCCAATTTTCCAATGATTAAAGATAAAAGGGGTAATGCAGCAGTGAAGGGAAAGATTTTCCTCTCTAAAGAAAGCAGAATCCATTAACCTATAATAGAACTAGATTAGATGAAAGGAAGAAATAAGGGAACACTGCTGTTCTTCTGAAACATTTCTCAAAATACACCTGGTGTTAACCAAAGCTAATGGCACAATTGAATGGATGTCACCAGTATGGTATCCTTTCAATGCACAATTTTCAATATCCCCAGTCTGCATGGCTGTGGAGAGTGGAGGAGTTCTGAATTAGAGGACATGGTTTCTCAGGATCAGAGACAGAATGAAACATCAGGATAAGGAGAGAAATTGCTTCAAATCAGCAGCAGAAAAAGATGAAGGTGGGCTTCCTGCTTCAGGTCTGGGGGTTACAAATTTCTCAGATTCCAAATCCGGATGGAAACCACATAGTTGGTTGGGTTGTGCTAATAAGACACCAATCACATTCAACTCTCCAAATCAATAAATAAATCCTCATTACCCCCATGTTGTCATTGCTTCTTCATTGGAAGAAAGTCAAGGCACCAAGACCAGTTCTTGATGGGTGTTTTTTTTAAAGGAGCCAAACAGAAGTCCAATTCTGACAATTAACCCAGAGAGAGGAACAAAGAGATTGTTTCCCTCCTTTCCCTAACTGTTTACAGCAAGGCCCTAGGAGACAAGGGTGGTTTTGTTTTTTTATTTCTCTTCTCTCTTTCTCTCTCTCTCTCTCTTTCTCTTTCTTTATCTCTCTTTCTCTCTTGCATTTTTGTCAATCTAATGATTCACTTATATTGCCCAACTTTTCCCTTCTCTTCATACCTTACCTACTAAAGGAGGAAATGCCACTTTCTTGGTAAGTGGACGTTAACCAAGAGGGACTTAAAAAAAGTGGTAATTTAACAAAAATATTATAAAGTGAAATTTAAAGAGAAATAAAAGAGAATAGAACGCTGGTGGAGACTCTGCACAAAGTTCAAAACCCAGGAAGAGTTCAGAAACTTTTCTTTGTTTATTTTCAGTACTGATGACATTTGTGGAGTTTCCTTTTTGTTTAAAATTTGTCCCTCCCCCATCCCTTTCCCCTTCCATCATTTCCATCATTTCTCCCCATATTTCTGTCTTTTCTTCTACTCCTCAATTGGCTATCAACAAATAAATTTATTTTTTTAATCCAACCCCACATTTGGACTCCTGTTTCTAATCCTTTCTTCATCCCATAATATTCCCTCATCCACATCCTCCCCTTTCTCTATTTTTAAATATCATTTTAAACCATTACAAAAATTATATATCATGTAATTTCATTTTTCCAAGGTGATTCCCTCCTCCCGATTGAACTTTCCCTCCTATTTACATTTGGTTTTGGTTCATTTTCTGTTTTGCATGCCAGAGATTTGCATGAGCTGCGTTGTTTAAGGACGAGATATTGAACAGGGGATCGAGGTGCAGAGTAGTTTCTGTGTAGCCTGCCTTATTCAATCATTGTGCATTGCCGTTGTGAACTGCAGCTTTTCTTGTTGGTGGGGGGTTTCTTTTAAAAACCTCTCCTCTCCTTTTTCTTTCTTTTTCCCCCTCCTGCTCGCTCCCTTTTTTTCATTCTGGCAGAGGTTGGGTTCCCTGTCGCCTTCAGCCAAAGGGCACATAAAGACCGAAACCCTATCGCTCCACGCCAAAGAAAGCAGGGGAAACAAACATGGGGCCAAGATCCCCCGGAGGTCCACATCCCCAGGGAGATGCTCTGGAGGAGACAAACCCTCCCACAGGCGCCACACCAGATCCACATCAAAACACAAGCGCAAAGGGCGTCGCAGGGCCAAAACCTCTGCAAGCAAGGAATCATCCTGGTCGGTCAGCCATACAGGATATAGCAGTGACTCAGAAGGGTCTACCTATTCACATCAATACCACGCAACAACCGGGGCAGAAAAGAACCACAGGGTACATCTGAAAACGTAAGAGCCAAAGATTGTGGTGCATGTATGACTAGTTCAGTGCATGAATGAATATTCAATTCAAACATCCAAACCTGTAGTCAAAAATACTTCCTTGGATGAGATTCTATCTGGGATTGAGTTTAGCTGTATTTCAGTAGCAATTGGGTAGCTTTTGACAGTCAATATTTTGAGTTGAGCAAATGTTCATTGCGTAAGTCACATTCCTGGATTCATTACAAATTTGCAAAAATGGGTTTTGTGTACCCCAGACCAAAAAATAAAAGACCATCTGTTTTGGAAAAAAAAGTGAGGACTGATTACAGTTCTTAAACTTTTTTAAATTTCCTTTTGAGAGGAATTTATGTAAAGTATATCCTGTTTCTAAAGACTCCAGATTATTTGGAGCAATGGCCAGAACACGCTTGATTTAAAGATAAAGAATAATAAAACCAAAGAAGAGATTTGAAATGTCCCACAATTACACTACATATAGGTCACCTGATCAGTCACTGCAGCAAGATAGATTTAAATTTCAATTACAATAATGTATATTATTATAATGGTAATAATTGAGCACTACTACCTGCAGGATAATATCCTGCTTCTACAGTGGGATATATGTCAGCCATCCTAAGATAAAGTTCTTCAGAAAGCATAGGTATGCTGTAAATCCTGAAATATTCTGTTTTCTTCCTGTTCTTCGCACATAAGATGTCATTTAAAATAAAATTCTGTTCCATGTCCTGCTGATGGAAACAGCACTGTCCACTCAAATATTGAATTGGAATAGCTTGAAAAAGGAATTTTCCCTTTTTGTGAGAATTTAATTCCAACTTGAAAACTGAACACAAGTCTAGAAAATGTGTCAACTGCTTAATTATCAAAACAAAGTTAGATTGCTTGACTGCCTTTTCCCCACTCTGTTTTTCATTAAGTATCCTTTTTTGATTGTCCTTACATTGTATTCGTTTTAGAGCTTTCTCGACTCTTAGTTCCATCTTTCCCTAATTCTGGCACCATGATAAAATGCCTTTATAAAGAGCCACTAATGAGATCAATGGAGAGATGTGACTTGGCTTTACAGTGCCTTGAATGGCACAATGGAATGAATGATGATGTGACAGACTTCATTCTTTCCACATTTGAATCTATTCATATAAATTAGCATTTGCACTTTTATATAAATATGTATACTCTTTGTCCCCTTGTTTGGTGATATGTATATGGCTATCACACCTCCTGACATTTTTGACTGTCCTATGTTTTCAGCTACCAGTGAGGAATTTCCAGCAAGACCACAAACAAGTAGACAGTCTTCTTCACTGTCTTCATCCTCTCTATCCAACATGTTCATTGGTTCATTTTCTCTGAAATAATAATAATAATAATAATAATACATTTAAAACAGTTAAAAATTGACAAAATCACCATCAGTCAAATGCAAAAAGCCGCACTGCTTGGATCTG